TTTTTTTATAAAAAAGTATTAAAAGTATAAATTAAAACTTGAAATCTTACCAAATTCATATTTTTTTGAAGATTCAAAAGCATTTAGACAAGCAAAACTTTCCAATCTCTTATCGTACAATTTACATTCATTTCAAAATTTTGTCTTTTGAAAATCTTTTTTTGCATCAACAATATCAGTAAATCGCTTTATTTTTAATAATTGAGATTTATTACTACATGTTTGCATCCACAACATCCATAAAACTGATTTAATAATATGAAAGTAGAGAGACGATAATTGACTTTAAACTTATTTAAAATGTAGTAATAAATCTCAATTATTAAAAATAAAACGATTTATGGATGTTATGGATGCAAAAAAAAAATTTTCAAAAGACAAAATTTTAAAATGAATGTAAATTGTACAAGAAGAGATTGAAGAGCTTTGCTCTTCTAAATCTTGTTGAATTTTCAAAAAATATGAAATCTGGTAAAATTTCAAGTTTTAATTTATGTTTTTAATCATAAAATTTTCTAACATTTTATATATTTCTTGTTTTCTTGATAGATGAGTGGTGAAAATGTTTTGGATATAATGCTCCAACTCTTGAGTCAAATTTCATCATTTTTAAGTTGTGAAAGAAATTGGAGTGTTTTTGAAAGAATACAAAAAAAAAAAAAGATTGAATCATCAAAAATTAAATAATTTTATTTATGTATATTACAATTTGTGTTTAAAAATTTAGTACTTTATTTTATTTTAAATTTATTTAAATTATAGTTTTTTTTTTCTATTTAGGCTTTATTAATTGAATCTTTTACTAATCTTCAAAAATCTTGAGTTATAGGACATGATGCCCTCCTTTTACAACAGAAAAAAAAAGAAAAAAGAAAAAGAAAAGAAAGTATGGCATCTTTGCTACCAAAAAAAAAAAAAGTATCACGTCGGAGTGAGCAGGGAGGCAAAGTGGGCAAAGTGGTCCCTATTCTTGCACATGTGGCAGCATGTATACAAAAAAAAATAGAATAGATGGGTTTTACTGCTGACCGTTTAGGACTTAACGGTCAGCAGTAACAGCAACATGGACGGTGTCAGGGAAGGGACGACAATGAACAAAAAAAGAGGAGTAGAGGGACGACGTTTGGCTCTTTGGTAGAGTAGAGGGACGACAACGAACAAATCTTTAGTAGAGGGACAAGAACAAATAAAATATGAAAGTAGAGGGACGATCATTGGCTTTAAACCGTTCTCAATAATTCTGCTATAATATTAAGCACAATTGAAAATTCTGCCAACATGTCCTTGACACCATTGGTGATCTTTGCCTTGGGGATACATTTATTTTTGTTAATTAAACTATTAAACCTAGTTTATGTACGGCCCTAATACAAAACCTTGCCCTTTGGAAAACTTTGAATGATGTTGTCAATGGATGGGTTATTTTGTCTAGATTGTCCTTTACCTCGGGGGTGTAAGTTTTGTCATATGATGAAATGTGTCCTTTATTTTGGTGTGTCCCCCCTCCTTTTTCACTTGATTTTGTTTGTTTGGGGTCAGCATGAATACGTGCTCTGTCAAATTTAGAATTTTTTTAACTCATCGAATTACTAAACACACATGTTTTCGTATTCTATTGAATGACTCAAACCCCCTTTTACCAAAAAAATAAAAAAAGAGAATGACTCAAACCACCAAATTGTAGCCTCTTGTTGTCTATTAATTTTGGGAGTTGTGTTCCATTTTTGTTTTGCTTTATGAGGGTTGCCTTAAACCTCTCAAAATTTGGTGTAATCCCACAAAACTAGCTACTCTTTCTCAAAAGGGTAAAAAACTTGGTTGATTCTTAAAAAAAAAGAACATTAATGATAAATCCTAATGCTTGGATGTCCAAATTGATGTAGTTATAGTGTTTGTTTTTTAATTTTGTAGAGTTGAAATTTAACTTAATTCTCTATTGTTTTAAGTTTCAAATTCAAATTTTTATATATTTATTTAATATATTGTAAAAAATAATATATAATAATAAAATTCTTTGTATTTGCACGTGTAAGACAACATGTAATTAGTTTTCCCAAATATTCTCTTCAAAACATTCATTTTGAGTACCCTTTACAGGTGGGGAATATTGCAAAATCGAAGTTTGATCCATAGATCATGCCTGATTTAAAGTGAAAAAAGTTGAGGCTTAAAGGCTTACACATCAATTATCATTGTCCAATATTGTTGACTAAACTCCCTAAACCAAGTATGATATACAATCCAATTCAAAGAAACAATAAGCATTTATTTGAATAAAAATTAATAAAAAAAAAAAAAGGAAAGAGAGGGGAGGAGAAGGAAAGGGAAGAGAAGTGAAGGAAATGAAAGGATTGATGCTAAATTTATTTGAATAGATAGAAATAAAAGAAATAGAAGAATAATATTTTTATTTAATTAAATAACTTGAAAAAAAAATAGAATAAAAAATTAAATATGTGAAACTAATTTCTCACAGTCTTTCTTATTTGAAGGAATTAAAAATAAAGAAGTGGCTTTATCTCCCTCCTCTTTGATTAAAATGAGTAATTCAAATATAAAAATGCAATATTTCCCCCCCTTTTTCTCTCTCACTCGTTCTCCTCTTTTCCTTCAACTTCTGCATTCCAAACACACTACAAAGATGGGATTTCACTAAATTTGAAGAAATTATGTGTATAAACATAAAAGGCTTTATTTTTTTAAAATGGTTAGGTACGATAACAATATTTTTTTGATATATTCAGGTAATAGAGTACATATATATATATAAATCATCTTTTTTACTCAAATTCCTCCCTACACAACTTAGAATCCCAGAGGCTTTAGACCAATCGAATAGTCCCTTCAAGGCATACGGTAGTAATATGAGTGATATCTTAGGGACCATGTACCATTCTCTGGATTTTAAGGACACAAAATTATTCAGATTTTGTTTTATGTGCCCATCCATAATGCTACTAAACAATGGAGACTAATTCAGTCAAATGGTTTCTTATTTTTCTAAACAGAAAAATTGACTGAGATACTATCTGGGTCCCTCCATGTTATGCCAAAGAAGCTGACAAGACTTAAAATTAGGGTTACCCCATTACCTATTTTCAAAAATAAAAAATAAAAATTTGGGTTACCATAATAAAATTTCAAATTAGGGCACCGACAAATGCTAATGAGCGACGGTGGTGAAAGGCGAATATTTAAAGTTTGAAACTTTCTGGGCCTTCCATATGCTTATGATGGAATATAATTGGGTCTTTAGATCAGTTTGGCTTACGTGGCATGATATGGGTAATTTGAGCCCATGATATTGGGCTAAAACTCTCCATAAAGTCCAACACATGTTAAATAAATAGACCATGATTTAAGGAAATGTTAAGACCAATAGATCATGTAGAAGACTCAAAGCCCACATCAAGGTCCTTGCTAATTGCTATAGAGTACAAGGCCATGATTTAGTTTTGGCGTCCAAGCCCCCTTTTATCAATAGGATTATTATTACACCTTAAATAATTAATGTTACATATCTTTTAATACAATTGATTATCATATTTTTACATTATATATATATATTTTCAAAACACTACATTTTTTAGAAATTCAAGTATTATAATTTATCATATAAACAGCAGTACTCTATAATGTTAAACAACTAACTTCTACTGTAAAAAGTGAAAATTACTCTTTTAAGCCTCACTTTTTCACTGTAACAAGCATTATTACCCTAACTTCAACAGTTGAATCTATTAATAAGTAGGTGTCGTTTTATGATTTAAATCTTAGTCTCAAGTTCAAGCTTTGGGGTAGAACCCAAACAAATTAATTTTTTTAATATATTAAACTGATATAAGAAGTACGAAAATCATGAGGAGATGGATTAATTTCAAAGAATATGAAAACATTCTAACCATCCAAAACCAATAAAAAAAAGGGGCGTTATCCCCACTATCAGTATCCTATTCCCATTGATGCACAAGAGAAAGGGTTAATGAAGTAGGAGATATATATAAACGTAACCCAGGTAGGTATTTAGTTTGGCCCAGCTTTGGGCCAAGCTAGTCCGTGAGCTTGTTCTTCAAACATTTGATGTAGGAGAGAAAAAGGGCCAAGTGTCCAAAATCTATTAAAGAAAGGACATCTCATTTGATATCAAAAAAACAAAAAAGAAAGAAGAAAGAAGTCACGATATTCATCTTTACAGGACCATCCTGATCGCATTGATTTGTATTGCACGATTTCTTCTCATTCTAATATTTGTGGTTGCAACATTTTTTTCTTTAATTTGCTTCATCTGAAAGCCAAAATGATTCTCGGTAATTGGTATACAATTGCAGAGAACTTTTTATGCAATCCCTTTCGTTAGTTCACCTCAAGAAGGAAAGAACTTCTGGGAGTATTAGTCATTGCTTTTGCTTGAACTTTTTGTCACATGAGACAAACTAATACAGGTTATAACTTGAGACTTCTCGTGTTAGAACAATTTTCTTCTCTCTTTGCCTCTCCTCTATTCCCTTTAACACAAACATATAGTTAGAGAAAATGTGATATTAGTGTTCAATTAGCAAGTAGTTATGATTGGGACTCGTCACCCATGAAACGACGATTTGGTAGCATTGGTTATTGATATTCCTTACAAATACAACTGTTTCTTTGTAATAAAAGAGACAGAGATATGCTACTAGATTTCAGATAAATTTGGTTAGCAAACAACTTCCAACGAAAAAATTGTAGGATATTATTATAGGCCAAAACCCCTATTTACACCCTCAATTTATTTCTTTTTCGCGGTCAACACCTTTCAGAATTTTTTCTCCCTATTCACACCTTTCACCTTTCAAAACCCGTAAAAAACCCAACATTTTAACGGATCGTCACGGCACCGTTAAAAAATGCATTACGTGGCACCCAAAAATTGACGTGGCACATGCGGCGTTTCTTTATTCGTTAAATTCAGATGTGGATTTGCTTTTTGATGATGTGGCTTCTTTTCTGCACATGTGGACGCCACGTGTGCAGTGGAACCCACTGCACAAGACTTCTGCGTCCCCCCCC